CCAGGTTATTAAGATGTGTCCACATGTACGACCATCCAGGTTATTAAGGTGTGTGTCCACATGTACGACCATCCAGGTTATTAAGGTGTGTGTATCCACATGTACGACAATCCAGGTTATTAAGATGTGTCCACATGTACGACCATCCAGGTTATTAAGGTGTGTGTCCACATGTACGACCATCCAGGTTATTAAGGTGTGTGTATCCACATGTACGACAATCCAGGTTATTAAGATGTGTCCACATGTACGACCATCCAGGTTATTAAGGTGTGTGTCCACATGTACGACCATCCAGGTTATTAAGGTGTGTGTATCCACATGTACGACCATCCAGGTTATTAAGGTGTGTGTATCCACATGTACGACCATCCAGGTTATTAAGGTGTGTGTATCCACATGTACGACCATCCAGGTTATTAAGGTGTGTGTATCCACATGTACGACCATCCAGGTTATTAAGGTGTGTGTATCCACATGTACGACCATCCAGGTTATTAAGGTGTGTGTATCCACATGTACGACCATCCAGGTTATTAAGGTGTGTGTATCCACATGTACGACCATCCAGCTTATTAAGGTGTGTGTATCCACATGTACGACCATCCAGGTTATTAAGATGTGTCCACATGTGCGACCATCCAAGTTATTAATGTGTGTGTCCACATGTACGAGCATCCAGGTTATTAAGGTGTGTGTCCACATGTACGATCATCCAGGTTATTAAGGTGTGTATCCACATGTACGACCATCCAGGTTATAAAGGTGTGTCCACATGTACGACCATCCAGGTTATTAAGGTGTATCCACATGTACAATCATCCAGGTTATTAAGGTGTATCCACATGTACGACCATCCAGGTTATTAAAGTGTGTGCATCCACATGTACGCCCTTCCAGGTTATTAAGGTGTGTGTATCCACATGTACAACCTTCCAGGTTATTAAGGTGTGTGTATCCACATGTACAAACTTCCAGGTTATTAAGGTGTGTGTATCCACATGTACAACCTTCCAGGTTATTAAGGTGTGTGTATCCACATGTACAACCATCCAGGTTATTAAGGTGTATCCACATGTACGATCATCCAGGTTATTAAGGTGTATCCACATGTACGACCATCCAGGTTATTAAAGTGTGTGCATCCACATGTACAACCTTCCAGGTTATTAAGGTATGTGTCCACATGTACGATCATCCAGGTTATTAAGGTGTGTGTCCACATGTACGCCCTTCCAGGTTATTAAGATGTGTGTATCCACATGTACGACCATCCAGGTTATTAAAGTGTGTGCATCCACATGTACGCCCTTCCAGGTTATTAAGATGTGTGTATCCACATGTACAACCTTCCAGGTTATTAAGGTGTGTGTATCCACATGTACGACCATCCAGATTATTAAGGTATGTGTCCACATGTACAACCTTCCAGGTTATTAAGGTGTCCTCACAGGGACAACCATTCAGGTCACTGAATCAACAAAGAGGATCAGTGGATGCGGTCTGCTCCACGACAGGATATAAAGTGTTGGATGCACCCTAACTCCTCAAGCGAGGCGCCTTCATGTTAGTGATAAACTCCTCATCCAAGGAACTCAACTTATCCTCCCCTTAGATAGATCTTAAATACCTCCCACTTGCCTATATGACTTCTAAGGGTTTAGCACTTTTCCCGTGATTAAAATGAAATGATATTCACCTTACAGCATAGTGATGCCGCTAGTGCTGCTTTTGTAGGAGATTCTGAAGAGAAATCGCAGAAGTTGGTAGACGAATTTGGGAGGGTATGTAAAAGAAGGAAATAAAACGGTACGTACCGATGAGCAAGGTGATGGAAAGCTTGGATACCAGGTAGTGCTCTCTCCCCCAGGTACCAAACTCATGAAATCGCAGTAACATGACTGATTTGAGGGGACTTGAGCTAGAGTTCGCCACAGCCACGTTGGTGGCAGATTCATCCGTTAAAGCTTGCACTGTGGTCACAGTGGTGCTCACGTTAATTCTTAATGGTGTATAGAAATATACCTAGTTAGATGAATCTTACAGTAGCCAGCTGGCCCAGTGGCTTACGCATTAACCTGGAGTTTTACCACTCACTTGCCATGGGTTCCGTTCTCTTCCCCCCGTTCCGTGGTTTGACTGTATATCAGACTGGAGGAAGGGAGTGTTTATATACTGTGGGAGTGGGCTTTTCTGCGGATACTTCTATCAAAGGACGCAAAAAGGGGAATGTAACAAAGTACAGCAGTACTAAAACTCTTATATGGGTGCGAAGCATTTCTTTCAAACATTGCAGCGAGGAGGAGGCTGGAGACAGCGGTGATGTCGTGTTTGAGGGCAATGTGCAGTGTAAATATTATGCAGAGAATTGGAGCTTGGAGACTATAAGGTATGTGGTTCCAAAAATATTATCCAGAGGGGGAGGGAGGAGGGGTTGTTGAGGTGGCCTGGACATTTAGATATGATGTAACTAAATAGGATGACTAGAACGGTATATATAAATCAGGTGTTGAAGGGAAGGAAGGGGTAGGGGACATTCCAAGAAGGGTTGGAGAGGGTAAGGGGTAAGGAAGGTTAAGTGATAGGGGCTTGGACATCCAACAAATTTGTGTAAGCATCTTAGGAGTGTAGGCAAGTGGTTTATATGACTTGATGTGTTATTGGAGCATGAGCAAAGTTAACATTTATGAAAGGATTCAGAAGAAACCGGTTAGCTGGTCCTGAAGGTAGAAAGTACAGTACCTGCACTTGGAAAGGAGGGGTGGGGGTGTTGCAAGTCGTATTCGGAGGGTCATTTGAGCTGTGATGTCAGCGCGCTTCTGGGAAGGAAGTGACCGAATGAATCATGGTGAAAGTGTTTCTTCTTCTTTTTGGGTCACTTTTCTTGAATGGGAGACGGCCGGTGAGTTAACATATATATAAAGAAAATATATGATTCAAACTGCTCTTTTAAAATTTCGCTCGATGTCTTCTTCATCAACGCTATATAAAACTTATGTGAACAATGAATCAATTATAGAGGCAGTTTTGACTTGAATTTTGCGTATGTCTAGAAATATTTAGGGTTTTCTGCACCTGCCTAAACAATTTTTTGTACTTTCTGTTACTTGCGAGCTTCCAGGTACTATTTTCTGGTACACTGCTCTTGTCTACCATCGTCTATTTAACATTTGGAAGGTTAAAATCTTCAAGGATGATGACATTTGGTGCAGGATTTATATCCCAGACTTTTCGTCTGCCGTTACTGAGGTTGACCTACATGCAAAGATAATTACCAGACTCTTGTTCTCTTTAATACCCAAAACTTCTACTGTATTAGCCTATGATTTCCAAAGTTGTGTACAGGACAACGAGTCTCTTATAAATACTAGTATTCTTCCCTGTGACTCACATACTCTCTCACCTCGACCTACATTGTAATGCTGCGTCTACACCTCACTGCCCAAAACATCTCTTGTAAGTACAGTAATTCTGTGAAAACTTCAAACATTGCATTTGCTTCTGTGAGGAGCCCACTTTGTCTGTTGGTTTTTAAACTCTGAACATTAGCAAACAAAAAAAAAGGAAAGATTTAATATTCGGGCGGTTTGTATAAACAGGTTTGGTTACAAACTCTGGTACTGTTCACTCTCAGCCTTCCAGAGTGCACGACTGCTATACTATTATTAGTGGTATACTATTACTAATGGCATATTATTAATTTTGTATAAGGTAGAATTGACAAATTATAAGTTTTCTTTAGCTGAAAATTTGGAGGCGATTATTTTTGCACAGGTTAGAATTGGCACAATAGTTTTGCTCATGTCAAGACTGAATCGCTAAAAAGTCTTGCACTGGTCAAGATTAAGACATGTTAGTTTTGTATAGGCCAGAATTAAGACATGTTAGTTTTGTATAAACCTGGATTTGTTGGATATAAAAGCAGTCATGAATTTAATTTTTTAGCCAATATTTTCACACACACCACACACACACACACACACACACACACACACACACACACACACACACACACACACACACACACACACACCTAGTAGCGGCCAGTGAAGAGGAGGGGCCAGGAGCTCGGACTCGACCCCTGCAACATCAACTAGGTGAGTACAACTAGGTGAGCACGCACACACACACACGCATTATATATATATATATATATATATATATATATATATATATATATATATATATATATATATATTTTATATATATATATATATATATATATATAATAAGATCACAGTAAACAGGTGATTTTAGAATATGCAAAAACAACCACTCTCAAAGAATAGAGAAATTCCAAGCGCTTTCTTTCAGAGTGGTTGTTTTGCATATTATATATATATATATATATATATATATATATATATATATATATATATATTATATATATATATATATATATATATATATATAATAGATAGATAGATAGATAGATAGATAGATATATAGATATAGATAGATATAGGGGTCGAATCCTGGTGGCTGCGATATTTCTATGCGTGCTGATGGCTCTCTGGCGTAGCTGGAGCGCAGGACTTACTGATAAACTGCAGCAGATCCTGCTGCTCACCTTCCTGCAGGTGCAGCAGCTTCCTCGTATCTAACACTGAACGTAGCGAAGCTCCCAACGGCGGCGACGACGGCGGTAACCAGCGCCGCAGCGGGCGAAGCAGCGGAGGCGGGCCGCGGAACATTAATCTCAACGCCTTCACATTTAACACAACCTTCATTATTAATACACTGTTTTCTCTATAATTCTGCGTTATAGCATCTTATAACGGCTGTAATTACTTTATAAAGTGTATACTGCACGTACGGATTATACGTATTACTCAGTGTACACAGTCACTGCTAGATCTCGGAGTACACTACCTGGGACGGAGGGCGTCCCTAGCCCACCTTTCACCCTCTGACTGACCCCGAGCAACGAGTGACCTTGTACTGAGGTTGACCTCGGGGTCAAGGGGCACTCAGCTGGCCTCAGGTGAAGGGGCACTCACCTGGTCCTAGCAACAGTTAGCTGCTAGGGGGCACTCACAGCCCTCTGGGACTCCAAGTCAAAAGCGGAGGGGAGAGGCTATGCACACATACACACACACACACACACCGCCGCTCGTGTTGCCCTGGGCACTGAGCCACTCTGTGCCAGCCTGCCCAATGCCAGCCACACCAGTCCTCCATCTTAACACTCCACCCAGCCCCCTGCCCACCATCCTAACCTCTATACTGCCCCCTGCCCTCCTTCCTAACCTCTATACTGCCCCCTGCCCTCCTTCCTAACCTCTATACTGCCCCCTGCCCACCATCCAATCCTACATCCCTCTGCCTTCCTTCCTACGCTCCACCACCTTGCCTCCTACCCTTCACCTTGCTTTCCAATTTATCCTCTATCATACCCTCTACCGCGTTACCTGCCCTCCATCCTAATCTCCACCTTGTTCCTCACCCTCCACTTCGTCCCTGCCCCCCATCCAACCCCCCACCTCGCCCCTACCCTCCATCCTACCCTCTACCTCGTCCCCTGCTCTTCACATACTCAGTTACATACATCAATGATAAACTCCTACGTTACACTGGCACAATAGCCTTCAAATATATGAATGGTGAGATGCTGATAAAACTCTTCACAACATCAACTGCGTCGGTGGTAACACAATGGTTGAGTAGACCGAGTGTATATAAATAAGATACACAATGGTCTTTCACTGAAATGTTAATGTTTCTGATGGACGTAACTTCTTCACAATAAAATGCCAAATTCAACATTGTGTCTATTTACACGCATCAGCAGCGTCGTGGGAGTAGCTACGAAGAACGTCTATTTGGAGGCTACCTGGAGGGTGTTCCGGGGGTCAACGCCCCCGAGGGCCAGTCCTTGACCAGTTCAGGCCCGGCTGATAGGGTACTGACTTTAGGTGGCTATCCAACTCCCTCTTGAAGGCAGCCAGGGATCTACTGGTAATTCCCTCATGTCTGGTAGGAGGCTGTTGAACAGTCTTGGGCCCCGGACATTTATTGCGTTTTCTTTTAGTGTACTAATGGCGCCCCTACTTTTCATCGGGGGGTTTATTGCACCGTCTGTCCAGTCTTTTGCTTACGTAGAGAGTGATTTCTGTACGCAGATTTGGGTCCAATTCCTATAGGATTTTTCAGTTGTGGATTATGATGCATCTCTCTCGCCTGCGCTCCACTGAGTACAGGTCAAGTGACTCCAAGCGTTCCCAGTAAAGGCGTTGGACGGAACTTACATGTGCAGTAAAGGTTCTCTGTACATTCTCTAGACCTGCGATTTCATCTGCCTTGAATAGAGCTGTTAGTGTACAGCAGTATTCCAGCCTAGACAAAACAAGTGATTTAAAAAAAATCATCACTGGCTTGGCATCCCTTATTTTGAAGGTTCTCATTATTCATCCTATCATTATTTAGGCAGATGTGATAGTGATACTGTTGTCATCCTTGAAGGTGACGTGTAGATAAAAAAAAAGTCCAAATAAATATATATTATACAAACAGGTTAAAAACGTTAGCAACATCATTGTTGATGAAGTGTTAGACACATGTGCAACATCTGGGAGTCTTTAATTTGTGGCGAAACGTCTACAAAGTAAAAATACCCAGATGTTGCACATGTGTCTAATTCTTCATGTTGTCGGTACTGTATACCAATCATATACACCAGTGTTGACATACCAGAATAAAGCGAGACACATTTAACATCAAAAGAGAATACGAGAAGGTTATAGTGTGGGTGAGGCTTCAAAGACTCATCATCAGGGTGTGACAAGCCACAGCAGCATCAGGGTGTGACAAGCCACAGCAGCATCAGGGTGTGACAAGCCACAGCAGCATCAGGGTGTGACAAGCCACAGCAGCATCAGGGTGTGACAAGCCACAGCAGCATCAGGGTGTGACAAGCCACAGCAGCATCAGGGTGTGACAAGCCACAGCAGCATCAGGGTGTGACAAGCCACAGCAGCATCAGGGTGTGACAAGCCACAGCAGCATCAGGGTGTGACAAGCCACAGCAGCATCAGGGTGTGACAAGCCACAGCAGCATCAGGGTGTGACAAGCCACAGCAGCATCAGGGTGTGACAAGCCACAGCAGCATCAGGGTATGGTAGAATGTATCTTTATATATAGTGTGGCAGAATGTGTCTTTATATATAGTATGGTAGAATGTGTCTTTATATATAGTGTGGTAGAATGTTTCTTTATAGTGTGGTAGAATGTGTCTTTATATATAGTGTGGTAGAATGTGTCTTTATATATAGTGTGGTAGAATGTATCTTTATATATAGTGTGGCAGAATGTGTCTTTATATATAGTATGGTAGAATGTATCTTTATATATAATGTGGTAGAATGTGTCTTTATATATAGTGTGGTAGAATGTGTCTTTATATATAGTGTGGTAGAATGTATCTTTTATATAGTGTGGTAGAATGTGTCTTTATATATAGTATGGTAGAATGTATCTTTATATATAGTGTGGTAGAATGTGTCTTTATATATAGTATGGTAGAATGTATCTTTATATATAGTGTGGTAGAATGTGTCTTTATATATAGTGTGGTAGAATGTTTCTTTATATAGTGTGGTAGAATGTGTCTATATATAGTGTGGTAGAATGTATCTTTATATATAGTGTGGTAGAATGTATCTTTATATATAGTGTGGTAGAATGTGTCTTTATATATAGTGTGGTAGAATGTTTCTTTATATATAGTGTGGTAGAATGTGTCTTTATATATAGTGTGGTAGAATGTATCTTTATATATAGTGTGGTAGAATGTGTCTTTATATATAGTGTGGTAGAATGTTTCTTTATATATAGTGTGGTAGAATGTATCTTTATATATAGTGTGGCAGAATGTGTCTTTATATATAGTGTGGTAGAATGTATCTTTATATATAGTGTGGTAGAATGTATCTTTATATATAGTGTGGTAGAATGTATCTTTATATATAGTGTGGTAGAATGTTTCTTTATATATAGTGTGGTAGAATGTATCTTTATATATAGTGTGGCAGAATGTATCTTTATATATAGTGTGGTAGAATGTGTCTTTATATATAGTGTGGTAGAATGTGTCTTTATATATAGTGTGGTAGAATGTATCTTTATATATAGTGTGGTAGAATGTGTCTTTATATATAGTGTGGTAGAATGTATCTTTATATATAGTGTGGTAGAATGTGTCTTTATATATAGTGTGGTAGAATGTTTCTTTATATATAGTGTGGTAGAATGTATCTTTATACTGTGGCAGAATGTGTCTTTATATATAGTGTGGTAGAATGTATCTTTATATATAGTGTGGTAGAATGTATCTTTATATATAGTGTGGTAGAATGTATCTTTATATAATAGTGTGGTAGAATGTTTCTTTATATATAGTGTGGTAGAATGTATCTTTATATATAGTGTGGTAGAATGTTTCTTTATATATAGTGTGGTAGAATGTATCTTTATATATAGTGTGGTAGAATGTTTCTTTATATATAGTGTGGTAGAATGTTTCTTTATATATAGTGTGGTAGAATGTATCTTTATATATAGTGTGGTAGAATGTATCTTTATATATAGTGTGGCAGAATGTATCTTTATATATAGTGTGGCAGAATGTATCTTTATATATAGTGTGGTAGAATGTATCTTTATATATAGTGTGGCAGAATGCTGGAATGTGTCCTGATATACATGATATACAGTACCGACAAGCTGATGAGTAAGACACAGTTTGGTATCTTTGTTGACGAGAGGTTTCGCCTGCTCAGCAGACTTCTTCAGTCAAAATGCAGATGAGACAACAGATATAATAGGGACGTAGGTATGAGGTGGTCAGTCCATCGGTCTTGAAGGTTAAGTCTGAGGTGGTTAGTCCCTCAAGCTAGGTATATGTTCGACTACAACCCCTCACCAGGAGTCTCAGTTTAACCAAACGAGAGCCACATCAACCACTCTCAAAGTCTCCGTAATTGGAATTCTCACTTTTTTCAGATTAGGTTACTAGCGTGCAGCAGCACTGTGGCTCCGAGAGAACACGTTCCTTACATAGTATCATCACTGGCCTGGCATCTTTGGTTGGAAAGATTCCTTAACAGTTCCTACAGAAAAGTTGTCGTCCATGTGAAGGTAGAGAGACCAGAACCACATTATACACCAAACAGAGACCAGAACTACATTATACACCAAGAAGAATGACCAGAACTATATCATACACCAAGAAGAATGACCAGAACTACATTATACACCAAGAAGAATGACCAGAACTACATTATACACCAAGAAGAATGACCAGAACTATATCATACACCAAAAAGAATGACCAGAACTATATCATACACCAAAAAGAATGACCAGAACTATATCATACTCAAAGTAGAATGATAAGAACTACATCATACTACAAGTAGTGACCAGAACTATATCATACACCAAGAAGAATGACCAGAACTATATCATACACCAAGAAGAATGACCAGAACTATATCATACACCAAGAAGAATGAGCAGAACTACATTACAACAGGATAAGATCAAGATAAAGAAAATACTTGCACTAAATAATACATTTAAACAGCTATACTGTCAAGACGAACATTTAACTGTATGCAGATCATCTTTAATTCATGTAAATTATATGAAAGTTTGAACACATTATAATTGTTATACATCACGAGGAATGAATACACAGAAAGATGGACGGAAGCTTCGAACCTTTCTGCTTATTCATATACAGTAAGCCTAAGCTTTTCGTGTTGCAATCAACACATCAAGAGGTTGCAATGTTGCGGAAAAGAGGATGAAATGCAAGCAGACATGTTCAGAGGAAGTTTCATTGCTTAAGCAAACAAGCTTCCTCTGAACGTGTTTGCTTGGACTTCATCCTCGTTTCTGCAACATTGCAAGCTCCAGATGATGTGTTGATTGCAACACGAAAGGCTTAGAGCTATCATTCAACACCTCCCCCTCCCCCCCCCCGTGGTTGTCTTGCATCTTGTATCGCTTGTTCGTGATTTTCTCATTTACACTCACATATTATTACGACTTGAACTGAGTTTATCTTGGATAATGTACATCTTCCGTGGTAGATTAATGTGGATAATGTACATCTTCCGTGGTAGATTAATGTGGA